ATATACATATATATACATACATATATATATATATACACACATATATATACATATATACACACATATATATACATATATACACATATACACACATATATATATATATATAAATTTAAAGTCTTCAAAAATAAGTTTCTTAAAAATGAATAAAATTGCATTAATTTGCCCAAAAGTACATAGCTATGTCCCTTTTTTTTTCATGGTTAACATTTTACAAAAAATGTCTTTTTTGGTATGTCTACCTTTGATCTAGAGCAGGGGTGTCAACCTTAGATAAAGCTTACATCTTATTTAATGAAATATAATTTTCAAAACACTTCCAGAACATGAAGTGTTTGTGTATTTTTTTTTTATTTTCAAAATGAATCAAACAGGCCAGATTGAAACCCCTAATGTTTGACACCCCTGATCTACAGCAACATACTATACTACAGAGGTGTAATTTAAGTACTTTGCTTGAATTCTACTCAAGTAAAAAATTACTTAATTTAAAATTTACTGTCATTTCAATGAATATCACTGTCCATCCAAAGCTCATACTCCAGGACAGAAGACACAGGGAAAGCACAGACTCTGACTGCTGTGGCAGGCACATTTTGCACTGCATGATAAAGTTTCCTCGTGTGCATTTGAAAACAAAGAGCTGGCTGAGATACAGCCAAGGATTTCCTTCTCTTTCTGTGTCATCTGCCCAGGGGAGCCCTCTGCTTAACAATCCTCAACCTCCATTTTTCGTTCGGCACCAGCCATCATCCAACAACAGGCTAGAGCCTGTCTCTTAGTCAACATTATTACTCAGTAACTGGTTCTTTTCAAATATAGTGAAGTCAAATACTTGACTCAAAATGTACTTAAGTAAACATAACATTACCTATTCCAAAAATTTGAAAACTTACAAATTACTAACAAAAACTCCTCAATTACAGTAACGTGTATACAAATAACTAACAAAAACTACTCAATTACAGTAACGTGAGTAAATGTAATTCGTTACTTTCCACCTCTGCTTTACCAATACGTTCTTGAAAATATCTAGATCTATCCACAAAATATTTTATTTGTTGTCACATCACAAAAACAGCTTCCAGGTCAAATGGAGGTCATTACACTGAATCAGTCCATGTTCGATCATCATCCCACCATGGACCTCTTCCTGCCCCTCAACCGAACCTCCTCCAGCTTCTTGATTACAGCCGGTGATCTCTTAGAGGAGGCCGCGTAGCTCTTCAGAAGCTCCTCAAAAACAAGCTCCGTGTTGGGGTGTGTGCTGAGAAAAGCTTTCTCCAGAACATACAGATCCACTCCTTTATCTTCTGGGAGAGCAGAGATGTAACTCAACCCAAAGTCAATGAGAACCAGCTCAGACTCTTTATCCTGAGGGCCTCGTCTCAGCAGCATGTTGGAGGTGGTCAGGTCTCCGTGGATGACGTCCTCGTCATGCATTTTGGCCAACGTCTGACCCACGCGTTGAGCTAGCAGCCGCAGCTCCACGTCGTTGCCGGCGTCCGACTGCTGAGCACCAACGATGTGGTCGCGCACAGTGGTTGAACGCAGGATTTCCTCCATGAAAATACAGTTGGATGTGTAGTCCACAAAGTAGACAACAGGGGCTGGTATACCTGAGGAACACAGTTTTAACCAGTTCTGAGGTCTTAACAGACATGATAAAGGAAGAAATGGAGCAGAAAAATATTTGAAACATATTTAAAACCCAGAGACTCGTATCAGAACATCGTGCACATTTGCACTGCCCTCTTGTGGCATTTCAAAGCCCAACAATGAGTTCAAATAAAATCGAGAAAATATCTAGAAGCTAAAATGTTTGTATAACATCGTTCTTAGAATGTGCTTAAATTGAACATGTTTGTTTTTATACCATATTTTCTTGCTAGTAAAATCTACACTGCCTGGCCAAAAAAAAAATAAGTCACCACCTGGATTTAACAAAGCAAATAGGTACGAGCCTCCTATTGGATAATCACTGCATGTGCGATTATCTTTCAGCAACAAGCAACAAGTTATTTAACCCCAACTGGTGCAATGAGTTGCTTCTCATTTCCTAAACAACCATGTCGAAAGACACATCCCACGGTCGTGGAAAAGATGTTAGTCTGTTTGAGAAGGGTCAAATCATTGGCATGCATCAGGCAGAGAAAACATCTAAGGAGATTGCAGAAACTACTAAAATTGGGTTAAGAACCGTCCAACGCATTATTAAAAACTGGAAGGATAGTGGGGACCAGAGTGATGGGCGCATCAGGGTAAGAAGAGAGGCAGGGGGAGGGATGCACCCATCATGCCTAGTGCCTACTGTACAAGCCTGTGGGCTGGCGACCCTTTTTTTTTGGCCAGGCAGTGTATATTTAAAACCTAGAGACTCATATCAAAACATCGTGCACGGATTTCACATTTGCACTGCCCTCTTGTGGCATTTCAATGCCCAATAATGAGTTCATTATTGGGCATAAAATCGAGAAAATATCTAGAAGCTAAAATGTTTATACAACATCGTTCCCTACTTAGAATGTGCTTAAATTGAACATATTTTGTTATTTTTATACCATGTTTTCTTGCTTGTAAAATTTATTCTGGTTTACTTCTTACTCCGTCTATGGTTTCTATTTTTAAATGTTTGCCTGTTTCAGGCCAGTGGCATTTCATTTCACTCTTGAGCAACTGTTTTTTCCTGTCTGATGACAGTAAAAAAATCTTTGCGGATTAAGAATAAAATATCATTTTTGAAAATACGTACACCTGAAACAATTGTTATACTGCTCCAGGTCAACGTAAAGTTTTTGATACAAGCGTCGATTTTTTACTGTCCGTATAGCTGTTACAATTACAACCTTATTTCCAAATATCAAACTGTGATAAGTTCACTCGTGTCTGATGAATTTCAGCATTTTAGTAACTCAACACAATCAAACGAAGGTACAGAAGTAAAGAAAAACAGCGAAGAACTAAATACTCAGTTTTTTTCCAATTCACCACACGACCCCTTTTCAACCAACCTGCTTTACGGCAGCGAAGTATGGATCGAACCTCCTGGACCGTTCTGCGGTGCGTCAGTTTCTCATCCAGAACAGAGTGTCGGTATCGTTTCGGGAAACGTTCTTTAACTATAGCGGGCTTTCCGAGAAACTGTGCCCGGTAAACCCGCGCTTCTGCTCCTTGTTTTAGCAATTCTGCTGTACTGAGAAACTCCGGCACCGCCATGTTTTCTACTTCTACTTCCGTTTCCGCTTCCTCTCCAGCAGTTGCTGTCGCTGCTTCGGTATATTTCTTCTTCTCTTTCTCTGGGACGCTATTCTTTTTCCTGTTTCTGCCACCTGTTGGTTGCAATGAT